ACCAAATGAAGAACGCACCCAAATTAACTGGAATCAAGCGTCAGATATCATTCAATAAAATACATGTTTCCCAGTGTTAATAGTAGTTACGAAGATACATTTGTAATTACAATTGATTCCCCAAAAAGGAATTTATTTATGACTCGACCTAATAAATTCATACATTTAAGATAATAAAGAAGGTAAAAGCCTCTCACTGGACATGTTTCATCAACGAAATCGTAAGGATGACGTGTATGTCCAATAGACTGAATACGTCATTGACCACAACGTAGAAGAAGTCAATGAGAGCCATCATGCAGTCGCTCTAAGTGGTTTTACTTATCATGTGTACTCTCCGATACACTATTATTAGGTTAATAAAATCCTCTCAATAAATATATGAATAAAATAAATGTTTCTTTCATACTAATGCAGATGACCACATGGCTCCATCTTTGGTCCTACTTTGCTTTTGACTTTAATTAATGATCTTCCTAATGGCAGAATCTCTTAACTTGCTATCTATGCTGATGACACAATCATTTATTCCTATCTCGATAGTAAATCTGTCATATCGGCAAACTACATAGAACAAATTGTAGTGACGAAAGCACATTCCTAACTATATGTTTTTTTTTAAATATATCTCAACAGATGATGAAAAACGGGTTCCATACAACAATGTTCAACGCAAAAGGAAGTGCATTGACAAGCATAAATCATCACAACGTTGACATTAGACTACTGTCTACCTTTTTTTAATCATTTCACCCAAACAAGGCGATAGTGCCACTAAGATGCAATTGGTTACTGAGAGGGAAAGAGAGTAAGAAAACTTTTGTGAGTAGAATTCACAATAAAAGTACCGGTTTCAGGAAGGCAGAAGATGGCGATCGATGTTGCATTTAAATGTTTGGCGATTCTAGGTGTCAGGGAACCATGAGAATTAAAGAGTCCTGAGAAGTGGGTATAACGTGGAGTTTTCAGTAGACGTATAAGTTATTACTTTGTTGATTTCAAGAAAGTATTTGATCGTTTATGGCATGACGGTCTTTGACAAATCCTTAGAGAATTCAATATAGATAACGAAATTATCCATGTCATCCAGGCCCTGTATAAAGATACCACCAGCGCAGCTCTTCTGGGAAAACAAATGGGAGGATTCTTCATCCACATTGTTCAACCAATTTCTTACGTTTCCTTCAGGTGGCAGACCCGTCTGTAACTGACAATGACCTCATAACAGCTAGTGATAGTGAGCTCCAAAATTTGACCATCTATCTTTCTGAAAGAGCGGAAGCTTATGGGATGGAGATCAGCTCCGAGAAATTCAACCGTCATGGTGAATAGCACAAACAGTAAAACCTGTGTCAACATTACCAGTAATGGAAATTCACTGGAGAAAGTGTCTAGTTTTAAATACTTAGGGGCAATCTTGTCTAAAGATGGTAGCAGTAACTTGGAAATCAGATTGCAGCAGCCATGGCAACGATAGCCAAATTAACAAGAATAGGGAGAAGCAAAATCAGCTTTCAAACAAAGTACAGACTCTACAAATCGCTGGTAGTTTCCATTCTCCTATATAGATGTGAAACGTGGACACTGTTGGCAGATACAGAGAGAAGGATTCAAGCGTTTGAGAAAAATGCATGAGAAAACTCCTTTCTATTGGGAACAAAAAAAACAATGTGTTTGTAGGGGAAAGGGTTGAAGATATTGCGAGACACCAGGAAACTCTTCTCGCCATTGTCAAACGGCGCAAAATGGCGTGGTTTGAACACATTACAAGGCACGACATCCTGTGCAAGACCATCATGCAAGGCACCATTGAAGGTGGACGTAGGAGAAAACGCCAACACAAAAACTGATTGGACTGTCAAACAATGGATAGATATGACTGTACCAGAATTGCTGATGGCTGCCGGTGATAGACCGTTGTTGAAGAAAGTTAGTGTGGCTTCTGCATTCGGATTCGCTTTACGATTATAAAAGTCAAGGAAATGATGATGATGATGAGGTGGATGATGATAATGAGGATGATGATGATAGTTTATTGGCCTCATAAACAATAACTATTGGAATAACACTTGTTTTATGCTATCTCTTATATATGTAATAACGTTTTGGCATTATTTTTTTCACTAATTTTATGTTCATCTATTTTTCTACGTTAAATACCCTGGATTACAAGTGATAAGATAACTGAAAAGTTGTTTATTGTGAACGAGATTTGGATTAATCTCCCTCACAATAAACAAATTATCACTCTTCAGTTATCTTATCGCATTTCAAATCCAATGTTTTTTTTTACTCTTGTTTATTAGCCAACGATAAGAACGACAAGAGGAGTTTGGGTTAGCAATGAAAATCATTTATGTTCTCTTTACTTTTCTGTACATTCGAACATGGTTCTCCACAGCATCATATCCTTTGTAGCCCTAAAGGATTTTCTCAGTCTGGTCCGAAAAATCTCGAGAATTGTAGGATCTGATCGAAGCGGTTGATAAAAGATCTCAAGCCCACACAGGATCCCGGCATGCTCTGTTTCTTCAACGAGAACTTTGACCAAGGCAAGATGTGGACAGGAGGACCTACAGTTGACCGTGCACGGACCCCAAAGGAGATATATGTGTGGATGCAGATACAGTTCACGTTTACAGCAATTTTAGCTTGAAAATTTGGAATGAAATGTCAATCGATTGACATCTTGTCGATTCTCTTCTTTTACTGCATTCCCGCCTTAATAATGCTTTTCTTATTCTTATTTTTAAACACCCAGTAATCTATTGTGTATTAGTGGCTTTATTCCCTTACTTGGGTTGAAATGATTACAAAAGAAAATTCCACTTTCTCAGCGTCAGTGCAACCGCCTGTATCGAGTGCTGATTACCATGTGGCTAATAGTCACATTATCCACTTATCTTTTGAATCCCCTCTGTTGATACCTAATAATGTTCATTCTAAATTGTATGAAGGGCATTCCGTCTGTGATTGATTGGATCTTTGGACTGGGAACAATTGGTCTTCAGTCAGTCACGCTTAGGCGATCATGTATCTTTCGATACATGACTGACGAGGCAGATTTTTTTCCCGCAGTAGGTTGACATTTCTTTCTGCAGTAAACCGGTTGCCATCCAAACCTGTCCTGCTATTTACCCATAGCTTGGGGGTGAGAATAGGATTCATACCTTTCCCAAGGTTATTAGCACGTAAACAAATGTAATGGATTCGACTGGAATTCAAACTCGGCTCTCCGATTCCTCAGACCAAGCTGCTGTCCATTACTCTACCGTTGGTCTTAAAGAACGAATAAAAATATATATTGCTGAATTCAGAGTTTTCAAATGTTTGGATAAAAAAATGTGCAAATATTTTACTTCATCTACAGTACCCAGCCAGACTGACGAACAAAATATTTCCTCGTGGTTTTTATCAATTTATTAAAAGGGGAAAAAAGAAGAATTCTTGGGAGATTCTTCGTAAAAACTACATATTTTTATTAATTTTTGTAGCTATTTATATAGTTCTTGTTCAGTGAAATTTAACATTTGTCGATAAAATATTTTTATTTGTTCCCATGACGTTTTATTATCAGACTGAAGGTCGCACTTATGCAAATATTTTAAGTTTGATTTGTAAATATCTCAAGAATGTGTGTTAGGACCATTACAGGAGTGTGGTTTTCTAACCATTACTCCAAGGAAAGGAACTCATTTAAATAATTACTACACGTATACGTGTAGCCTTTCCATAGTATTTGACATCCTATCACCAATTACTATGGGAGTAATAATTTTTTTATGTTAACTCATACATGTAATATAGTTTTTGGAATGGTATTTCACTAATTGTATATTCATCTTTTTCTACGATGCTTCCACGATTACTACAATCTTAAGCTGTTTAAGTCTAGGGTTAATCGTTATCTTTCCCACGTATCTCCATAAACTGTGCATCTTACTCTGTAGCCCTCTACCCCGGTTGGCCTTTGGGTCTCATACAGAGAGAAGATTACCGGAAAAAAAAACAGTCATATATCCTGAAATACATGTGATAAATCAACTGAAAAGTTGTATACTGTTAGTGAGATTTGTATTACTGATTAAATCCCAAAGGTTTTAACTTTTCTTTCTAAACAATAAGAACGAGAAAAGAAATGTGGAATTAGCGAGAGAGAATTGAAACAGACTAAAATTATTATTCTTTTATGTGTTGTGTCTTTTCTGGAAATGAACGATCACAGCTCTCCACGGCGTCATTGTAGCTCAAAGCAATTTTGTCCTCTTACTACCCCGCCCTGCCAGGTTACTCGATATTCTCCTGTTTCCCTTACCTATAGTATGTCATGTGAACGTTAAATTCTCCAAGCCCTCTATCCTCATTATGTTTATAAGAAATTTCTACTAACTTTTTTCTGACTCTAAACACAGGCGTCCTTGTTTCCATTTTTTCTTAAAAGTTCCTCGTTCCATGATCTGTCCATGGTATTCTCAGTATCCTCCTGTAGAATTATATCTCTACTGCCTCAAGTTTCTTTTACATGGGTGAAGATATTAACGAGAATTTTCTACTATAAACTAGTATTGATACGGTAAAGAAATTTCAGCGCTCTTTCCTTTGTTTGTAACGAAATTTTAATGGGAAACACTTTTCAAACAAAGAATAGAAGAAAAATGTTTTAACAACAGCTAAAAAGGCAAAACATCAATGTTTATGAAAGTAGACAAATCTCTTTGAATAATTAAGACGAGTACATACAGCTTAAGCAGTTTAAAACCGACAGTAAACAAGCTTATCAATATCAGTGCAAAATTCTTTTCAGTAAAAGTGGCATTTTAATGGTATTCTGCGAGTAAATACGATTAATTATTTGGACTAATATCATGAACTTAAAACGTTGTTTTTTGTTTATTTGTTTTTAAAACATGTCGCTTTTTTGGCAATTTCCTTTCATAAATAATCAAGGATGAGTCTAATCTTTTTTTTTTATTATTTCTTTATTTTATGTCTAACGCTGACTACGAATACGTAGGCCAGCAAGCACAGATAGTGGACAGTGCGTCTTCCACACCCGTCAGCGAGCGACGGCCGGAGGCTAGGAACGCGTAGACAGCCAGTAGGAGTAGGAAAGCAGCCAGTATCCGATCCGATCCGCCCGTTAGCGAACTACGACCAACGGCTAAGAATTCGTAGCCGGCCGAAAGGCCCAGAAAAAAGCAGACAGCGCGTCCCCGACGCCCCTTAGCGAGCCACGGCCGGCGGCTAAGAATTCGTAGCCGGTCGGCAGATCCAGAAAAGAGACAGCGCGTCCGCGACGCCCGTCAGCGAGACACAGCCGGCGGCTAGAAACGCGTAGCCAACAGTCTAAGGGAACCGGATAGAAGGCGGGTCGATGCACTCATGATATAATGATATAAATATACAACATAGGTATATATACTCATCCAAATAATTTAGAGAATAACAGGAATGTTTTTTTGTCTTTTCAATGTCATGTCGCTTCAGGACGTTGGCGATCATGATCATATATGAATTTTTTATGTTTATTATTATGGGAATGACAATTATTTCTTGGGAAATGGTAGTAGAGCGATTTTCTGTTGCCTTTTCTATAGCAAACTAGCAGCATGGCCCGGCCTGATTCAAAAATCGTACGACTCATACAGCAATCGCTATCACTTGACTTAAAATATTTTTGCCCTTCCTTGACTTTAAAGGAGTGCCCTTTGCCGTGCTGATGTTGCTACACGCCTTACTTCTTGCCTACCTCACACTGCGAATTTTTTCTAAGCTCTATACTAAACATTAAATCTGTTACGAAAAAAGAACTAAACAAAATGAACACAAAACGATCAGCTTTAAAAAAAAAACTCGTAACTGGAAAAACCGAATGAAAAAAAGAATGTTAACAACAAATACTTTTTTACACCCAACCCAGTTCTGCGGAATCAGAATTAACGTTGAGTTTAAGCAAACGAATGAACCAATTGGAGTAAAGTGCCATCCAGATTTAAATTTTTCCCACTTGTGACGAATGCAGCTATCGATATTTTGTATGTTAGCATGATAGTTAACATTCGTGTCAGTCAGCTGTTGGCTCTCACGCTGGCCAATAGAATCTTACTGCCTATTCATGGCAGCCAGCTATAGGCTCTCACTCTGGTCAGTACAAAATGGCCGCAAACTACATGAAAACTGCCGTAGAAGCATGAAAAAATCGATTATTTCCACTATCGATGGGAGTTGGGAAATGCAAAGTGGGTCTTGGCCTTTTCACTAATTTGGAGCATGTGCATGTAAATTTTGGTGCAAATCCGTCGAAAATTGCGACCGTGCATTCGTTACACACACACACACACACACACACACACGCATCCTGCCTTTTATAGATAGAGATTCAAAGACAAGTTGACATCTAACGCTAGAAACATGTCTAAGCGGAGTTGGGCTTATTCAGGTGCTATTCTACTATATTACAACACATTGTAAGCATCGAACTCACAGTAATAAAAACTGATAACCATTTTTTTTGTGGAAACGACTCCCATTAAGATGCTTCCCCGATCACTACAATCTTAACCTGTTTACGTTTTGGTCCAATCGTTACCTTCTCCACATACCCCTTTAAACTCTACCTCCTACTCTGTAACCCTCTACATCGAGTGGCTCTTTGGCCTTGTACAGAATATAATCGGTGTTTGAACGTGATATGTGTGTGAATTTGCATATAAAGATCCCCTCATCAATATATTATAACGGCCTCTCTCCAAATGCTGAGCATCAATGGCCTTTCTCTCCAAATACTTAGTATCAAAGGACTTTCTCTCCAAATACTTAGTATCAAAGGACTTTCTCTCCAAATACTCTAGCATCAACGGACTTCCTCTCCAAAAACTCAGTATCAAAGGGCTTCTCCCCAAAAAACCTAACATCAAAGGGCTTTCTCTCCAAATACTTAGCATCAACTCATTTCAGGAAGCTGCACATACGTATCTCTTTTCAACTGAAATATCTTCAGCTCGCCTTTTAAAACATGTCCTATACATTGTTTGCCAATCTAATGCATTTTTCTTCATTACGCCTATAGAGCGCCACTGCAAAAAAGGTCATTTATCAAACAATGGAAGGAAAAATCATAACACTCACTCATACATGTATATATATATGTATGTGTGTGTGTGTGTGTGCGCGCGCGCAGAAACATTTAAAGCAGAATGAGGCGATAAAAAGAGAAACAGAAGACATCTCATCTAATTGGACAGTGCGTCCGCGGTGATGATTGTATTGCAATTAACAAGAGGACACTATCCTTAATCAGGTAAACAGAGGCGGTATTGTTGCTATGGTGATTATGTTGGCATGGAAATAAAGAGGCGTCTCCTCTACGTCGTCCCATCTAGCTTTGCTGCTTTTTATTTTCTTCTCTCTTTTCCTCTCTCATTGTTTCACACTCTCTTTCACACTCTCTTCATCTTTTTGCTCCTTCTTTATTTTTTTCCCGCATCGCCCTTCCCCTCACTCTTTATTATTCTATCTCTTTGTCGCTACGTGTTTCTCACTTCATTCGTTTTTCGTTGCGATGTGTTCAGCCGTTTCTTCTCTTTTTTTTTTTTTTTTTTTTTTTTTTTGCTTACTTTTGTTTACGGTATTGCTTCGATTCTTATCATTTGCATATTTTCATTTTAGCATTTCATTCATTTCTGTTCTTTTTTTTTTTTTAAAAAAATATTCTATTTTACCCTCTCGCAGACATATTTTGGTTATCGCAGTCTATCTCCATACACACACACATACATACACACATATAAACATTTTACATAACTTTCTTTGGTTTTTAACAATAATATAGGTCGTCCTTGGTTACGCTTCAAGGGCAAGTTTAAATACAATTGAAATACTGCAAACATCCCTATATAGGAGTTCGAACTCGCTGTTTGAACACCAAGTAAATTGGAGGAACACCGGCTTCTGGGGTATGACTAATTTTGAAAAGAATCGTCTCAGCCTCAGAGAGAATTAAGAATTAAAATCTCGGGCTAATACATTTAGCATGTCCCTCATGTGGACGTGTTTGTAAATCCCGTGCAGGATTGTTGTTTCATACGAAACATAAGCATAAAAACTGAACTGAAAGACACTTATACGTCGAAAACGACGGGAGAGTCCATCATAGATATTCATATGTCCCGGAAATGGAATATATTTGAACGGAGTAGCTAAATGGTTTTGGTTACTATAACCAAGTAGAATATGGTAGCAGTAATCGACTGGTACGCGACATAGTCGCAGGTAAGAAGTGTAGATCAATGGCGTAGTCCAATGGGTGTCGTTATAGACTTAGCTCTCAGACTAAGGCACTGGCTCTCCTACACATCCGTCGGTATTTATGACGGACTCTAGCCAATCATATTCCAGTGAGGGGGAACACAGGTGTACGTATATTCCATTATATCATATATATATATATATATATATATATATATATATATATATATATATATATATATATATATATAGAAAAACTGACCACTTTAAGGTTCTATTATACTAATTTATTTCACCAGAGCCCTTTTAAGGGACGCTGGATCATCAGATAACATTTCCAAAAAATGAAATGAAAATTTACACTTTTGACGGGTAGTATTAAGTTTATGTAATTTAACAGAGAGGGTAGCGAGGAGTGGTGTGAGAGACATGGTCGAGTTTAGAGAGGGTTTATTTTAATATTTATTTCAATCATACTTAGTATTGGGGGAGGAGGAACCAGACCTTGACCTATTTAAACGGTTAACTTAACGGAAGTGATATATTGAAATGGGAGGGAAGAAGAGAGAAAAAGAAAAGAAAAAATAAAGGGAGAAGTAAAGTGACAGAAGCTGTAATTAGGTTTTACGTAGGAAAAAGAGGGGTGGTATATTTTTAGCAATTTATGTAAAAAAATAGATTTTAATGTTTGATAGTAATTTAAATATTTAAAAAAAACACGAAGAAATTAATTTGATGCTTGCTAGCAATTTAAATATTTAACTCTTTTATAAATAATTTATTTATAATAATTTTATAAATAATTTAAAATAATTTAATATAACTTAAGTACTGTATTTATTAACACATTCATAAAGAACACATTAAAATAATTTTTTAAAATATAACAGTTTACTGATAGTAATCTTTTAATATTGTAAATGACTGTTAAGGTAACATCTTTATCAGTTTGAATCTAATTCATGAATGTAATTTGTAACTATTTTTAGATGGGTAATCTTCCTTACTTGAAGTTTAGGTTTCAAATTAAGATGAGGTAATATTGGAAGGTAATATTCAAGAATTTTTCATTATATATATCCCACATATACACAAAGATGGTGTGAAGCCAGAATGTTATTAGTCAGTGTCAGACTATAAGAAAAGTCATTGAAGTTAAGCAGTCTTTGCTATAAAGTGCTCAATATCAGAGACTAGGCATTAACAGGATCAATACAAATATGCAATTTGTCACTTAGTTGATTGATACTATATTCATCACTTCTACTCCAGTGTTTCGTAGACGAGCCATTGTGTAATTGTTCAGTCTACTAGTCAAGAGGTATCAGCAAATTCCTCCTGAGAAATGGCCGAACGATTACACAAATGTTCGTCTATCAATGTCTAGAATAGAGGTGTTGAATATAACATCAATAAGCTAAGTAAACAAATGTTATATTTATATTAATATATATATATATATATATATATATATATATATATATATATATATATATATATATATATCACATTATGAAATGGACAAAGTCCGACAATTATTTTAAGACATTTTTATGTTTAACATCCTTTTTATAGATACAAAAATTTAAGTAAATGCTCTGTTTATAATAAACAGTATTAATCGGATACAGGTTCAAATCCTGTCGGAGGACGAATACTTTCTATGAAAATTTCTGGGACATGCAGGCCGGTAAATGTTATTTAATACTGTTTATTATAAACAGAGCATTTACTTAAATATTTGTATCTATAAAAGAACGTTAAAAAATAAATATATATATATATATATATATATATATATATATATATATATATATATATATATATGAGATTATTACTAGAAATATTATTTTTTAGCCGATACATGTCTTTCAGTTGACAGCCAGCTTTTTTGTTTCTTTTTTCTTAAACAATGAAATGAACATCAACCGGCTTAGATCGAGATCCATACTAAAGGAATAATATACCTCCGATAATAATCGGAACAATATTCCCTTTTTTCATCAGGGAAAAATTATAACCGAAGTTTGCCATTATCAATTTATTATGACGGTCTGTTTTCCATGGCCTAACTTATAACAGTACAACATCCGGCTATAAGAAAGGATTCTCTTATGAAAAAACAGGATACTCTTTGATTCCGCTTGCAAGATATATTTTTCTTTGGTAAGTCTTCTCAATCTAGGCCGGTTGTTATTAATTTTAGCATTTAAAAAAAATAAAAACAAAGATATAACTACATATATATATATTTAATATACTTTCTGTTTATACGTTATTTTTAATAAATACAATTTATTTAAGTAAATATTCCTTTTTCATATAAACAGTATTAATTAAATTTACCGGCCTGAGTGTTCAAGAAATTTCATAGAAAATACATGCTTCCCCAACGGGAATCGAGCCTGTAACCCCAAAGGAAACTATCATTTGATCTGATGTGCTGTTAACCATTCAGTTACAAAGTCCCAAATACCAGCCTGAATGCTCAAGAAACTTGAATCGAACGTGTGTCCTATGCGGAACCGTCAATTGATCTGACGTGCTATACCACTCAGCTACAGTCTGGTTATCAAAGTCCAAATTACTGTTTATAAAAAGTAAATCTTCGACGATCTTTCCTGAACGATCATACCTGCCCACGAAACGTACCTAAACGTAAACAGTGACAACATATTATGAAATTGATTATGTGAGACAATTAATTTATATACTTTCTGTTTATACGTTATTTTTAATAGATACAATATATTTAAGTGCATGCTTTGTTTTCTCAAATAAACAAGTATTAATTACATTTACCGGCCTGAAAACTTGATGCAACTGAAATGTGGTTCAACAGAAGGATACTGAGAAAAATATGACGGCAAGGGTAAAGTTTTAGGGAAAATGTAAACAAAAAGGACACTTATACTTATCATCAATGAGAGACAGTTGAAATTTCCAGGGCTTATAATGAGGAAAGTGAGGTTGGGAAATCGATACTCACATGACAGATTGAAAGCAAGAGGGACAGAGGAAAATAATGTATCACATGCTTACTGAGGTTGTGTAACGGATGTAGGACAAAATTTAGAAAAGATAACAAAAGGGTAACATTTATTAAGAGCTACAAAGCACAGGTAATTGTGGAGAGCCATGATCGCCAATGCCCAGAAGATTTCATCTTTTCAATATGGCACCATTTTCTTGTCACCCAAATAGGCGCGTCTTTGTAAGAGTTCAATATTACTAGTGTATTGCTGTTGTGTCTTTAACAGCATTGATAAAATATTGATGCCTGGATGTGATGGTGTTAATCGTAAAATATTCTGGTGCATTTTTACTGGCACGAAATAAACGTTGATATAATCGCCAATCTTTGCTTTGTTTCTACAGGACCACTAATGGTTAACTGTTAGGCAGAAGCCTAGTATAGGTCCTGTGGTTTCAAATATATCGAATAACGTATGGCCTCCAGTAGCGATTCTGACTTCGATGCGTTTAAATTATGTATATTAATAGATACGAATATATAATAATGAACCGATATATATATATATATATATATATATATATATATATATATATATATATATAGAGAGAGAGAGAGAGAGAGAGAGAGAGTTATGATGAGTGTGTGTAGGTGTACGGTTTAAATATTTTTGTTGGTGTTTTAAATTTGGCGAAAAATGTTCTTAAAATTTCCATTCGAGATTGCAATCAAGATCTATTTTCTGTCGTCAATTCGATTTTAATTTATTTAAAATATGCAGCTAAAATATTGGATTCATTGAAATAATGAATAAAATGTTGTGTTCTCTCAACTATTAAACTGTTCCTTGAAAGGTAAAATATAAGATAGATAGATAGATAGATAGATAGATAGATAGATAGATAGAAAAGATAGATAGATAGATAGATAGATAGATAGATAGATATGAAAAGTCTAATAGATAGATAGTAGATAGATAGATATGAATAGGATAATAGATATGTATAGGATTTAACTTTCTCAGATAGATAGATAGATAGATAGATAGATAGATAGATAGAATTATATATAAATAGAAAATGAACAGGACTAGATAGATAAATAGATAGATACGAACAGAGTAAAATAGACAAATAGATAGATAGATAGATAGATAGATAGATAGATAGATAGATAGATAAGCTGAAGTATAAATATTCATAGAGCCATTCTGATAAAGTTCGGATTCAACTGAAATCGATTAAAATATTGATACGCATAGACTTGAAAATAAAAAAAATAAATAGCTTGATAGAGTGATGAAAACTGACAACCAGATCCCCTCTTATGTGCTGTGTACATATATCTCTCCAAATCAAAGCGGTTTTTTCCTCTTTTCTAAGCCACCCGCCACCCGTTCTGACATCCATTCACACAAGCACACTGTCTTCCCTTATTTCTCTTGCCCTCAATATATCATGAGAGGATTGAATTCTCCGAGCTTTCCTTCCTCATTGTATGTCCAAGAAATTTCAGTTCTTTCTTCATGCTTCTGTGTGTAAGTGTTCTTTTTCATACCATTCTCTTTAAGAAATCCTTATCTCTTACTCATACTATTTCACTGTAACCTTCTGTAGAAACATTCCGTCTTTCTCTTACACTGTGGGAAGATTGTCCACAATCCAATGGCATATGAGAAGATGGATATCACAGCACACTTTCCTTTGTTTCTAACGAAATGTTTCTGTTTCTCAGCACGTTGTTTAGCTTTTGGATGACATCTTTTTCTATTCCAGCGCGTGTTGCGATTTCAGTGTCAACACACGTAAAAGTGGACAAGGAGATCGATCGGTCAGCAGATAGATAGATAGATAGATAGATAGATAGATAGATAGATAGGTCATAGAGAGATGTGAAGGTAAAGAAAGAAAAATTGATTGGTAGAAAGAAATATGGAAAGAGATTTAATCAATACTATTTATTAAATATATATGTAGATAGATAGATAGATAGATAGATAGATAGATAGATAGATAGATAGATAGATAGATAGATAGATAGATAGATGAGCAGGCCATAGGGAGATATAGAGGAAAAGAAAGATTGATTGACAGAAGGAAATATGGAGAGATTGAATCACTACCGCTGACCCTTACTGGATGTGGAGAAAACAGCATAGATAGATAGATAGATAGATAGATAGATAGATAGATAGATAGATAGATAGATGTGCAGGCCATAGGGAGATGTGGAAGAAAAGAAATCGAAATTAATTAGTAGAAGAAAATATGAAAAGAGGTTGGATGAATACCAGTGACTCTTACTGAATGAGAAGAAAACAGCATAGATAGATAGATATTAAATATTGTCTATAAGGCAATAATAATCCGGACCGTTGTATTTTATTTTGCACATTATCTCTCTCTTCCAATTTTTGTAGCTTTTCATTCATCACCGGAAATTCAGAATTCGCAAGTCACTGATCAATAGTTGAGACCGAAATCCTCTAAATATTTGACTGCATTCAATCCGAGGTGTCGGCAAAGATGAAAACAAATAATGAAAGCATCGATCATTGTGGAAAGTGACTGACATTAATGTGATTAAAAGTGCTTATGAATTCGAAATATCGTCCCCGGGAGGGCTAGGTGCAGAAAAACCAGCCTTAAACAGACGATTCCTGTGAGACCTTATCTGAAGTTCGGACGCAGATAGCATCCTGTAATGTGTTGTTTGGTAAGTGAAGCAGACAAATTACAAGACTATTTTATCCTCATTGAGAAATTTACAATTACTGAAAATCTTTGTTTCAAATTTCGAAGGTCAGGAAAACATTCGATGCTTTAACTTTCAAACTTATAATAGATTTTCAGTGTCAGGTTGAACGTTGGTGTTCTCTAGAGAATAACAAAGTCTTTGTTAGATAGATAGATAGATAGATAGATAGATAGATAGATAGATAGATAGATAGATAGATAGAAACATCTAGAAGAAAAGTAAATCAATTAGATCGGTAAAAAGAAAGGTGGAAAAAGATTAAAGCAACATCGATGGCGATTATTGGAGAAAATAAATAGATAGATAGATAGATAGATAGATAGATAGATAGATAGATAGATAGATAGATAGATATGAACAGAACGATAGATAGAGAGATATGAACAGATAGATAGATAGATAGATAGATAGATAGATAGATAGATCTAGAAGAAAAGAAATCAATTAGATCGGTAGAAAGAAAGGTGGAAAAAGATTAAACCAAACACCGATGGCGATTATTGGAGAAGATATCCGTGATAGATAGATAGATAGATAGATAGATAGATAGATAGATAGATAGATAGATAGATAGATAGATATGAACAGAGCCATAGATAGATGGGAAGAACATAGAGAAATGTAGCGGAAAAGAAAGCAATTTAGATTGACAGAAATGTGTTAAGAGAGATTAAACTAACAGTGATGATTATTATGGAATAAATCTGTGATAGATAGATAGATAGATAGATAGATAGATAGATAGATAGATAGATAGATAGATAGATATGAACAGATACGTATATGCATAGATAGACTGCATATAAATTCTGTGCTTTTATGACATAATCAGCACAACTATTGTTTCTCATTAAAATCTGCTGCAGTAAAGTTCGGACTCGATATAAATAAAATTAAAACACAATTCATTTTTTTTAATCTAGCAAATAATACAACATTCAAAGATAATAATATGAAACAAGTAGATTATTTTTATATCTTTGATAATGGATGAACTCCTCGCAAAAATTAAATAGAATTTGAATGATATGGACAACACTATCAAAAATATAGGACATCTTGAAGTCAAAAATGACATTTTTTTTTTTTTATCTCTTTTTGTCCTTTGGTACAGTTCAAACATTAAGTTGTTAAATAAATCGCTGATAAATAAACGAGACAGACAGTACGTATACACTTTGAGATATGAAGAAACGAGGATAGATAGATAGATAGATAGATAGATAGATAGATAGATAGATAGATAGATAGATAGATAGATGGGATAACTTGTAATACAGGAATTCCTCGATTAGTGCGAGTAATGTGTACATTAAACGATACGTACTAATCGAAAACGCATTAATCGAATATAATAACTTATTGGAAATGATGTAATTTATACCTCATTCATTGTAGACTCACTCACAATTAATGTCAAATTTGCGTACTTTTTAATTAAAATATAGCTACCTATAAGATACATTAAAAATGCTATGAATTAATGTTTATTAATCTGACTTTTATAAAAACTTATTTAGAGTCGTTTGACACATAGTATTTTTCTGTTCTTCATATAATTGGCGGTACTGAGAAATTCCTCCTTCAAATTTTCCAAACATCATAATCATTAGTATTTTATACTGAGAAATTTATTTATAATCTTTCCATAGTAAATGCATACGTCTTTTATATTTCGCTATTTTATAAATATATATTCATTAAAAAATTAATATAAATTTGTCCTATTATATTGTCCATTTTTTCAACAAAAAAATTCTAAATTTCCTTTTAAGACGTTCCAAAATAAACTTGAAAAATAATCAAAAAAATTGAAAAATTTTAACAGAGACAAATATTCAAATATGTATTTTTATTATCGGCTATCAATATCTATTATAAAAGCTATCTATTTAAAACCGTCCATTTTTTTAACACTAATTACTTAGACAACATAATACTTGACAAACAAAACGTTACCCATTCTCCATTTTTAAATTTCAGTAATTTTTTAATTAATCGATAACTATAAAAAAAAATCATTTTTTAATTACAATGGTTAAACTGAAGAATGTGTTATCGCAGTCATCGAGTATTATGTACGGACTAATCGAATTTTGGTATATAAACATTTTAGTGCATTAATAGGATGTGCATTATCAATGAGATTCCTGTGCACAGAAAAGTAATTCTTAAAATAACTATTAATTTTTTTTTCTTCTTATTAGTTATATGTAATCTATTTTTGTTTATAGACGCATTAGACTTGAAGAACTTAAGACAACGGAGAATCATCCTCGCGAAAGACGAAGAGAATAAGGATAGTCCCCCACCCTCTGAGTATACGGCTGGTTGTGTCTTAGATTGATCCATTTCTTATCAACCTATTGCAAATATTTTTAGATTGTCAGAATGTTTTGGAGATAATGATGTTTCATTGATACAATTCCTACTAATTAATCCATCGCTGGGTGGGGAGATGATGTGTTCATACCTTTCCCAGGATTATTTGTACGTAAGTGAATATAACGAACCCAATGGGAATTGGAACTCTGCTCTCCTATTTCCAATACCAAATCGTTATCCATTACACCAACTATATATTCAAGCTGATAGAACCTGGTTTTCTTAAGCAGTAACCCATCTACATACTGACCATGATGAACATTGTTTAACTTCGGTTATCGTACGAGAACTGATGATTCAACATGATATGGCCGTAAGCCCTGATCTGATGCAATTCGGGAGTCTATGAGGGAGTGAGTAGGGCCTTAAATAATTAATTAATTACAAGGCCGTGTAAATATTATTGAACTCTGAAAGAGAGGGTTGGGTTGGACTAGCCCTGATATTGCAACAGTACTCTATTTTCTGGTCTGATATGTCTTTTATAAAGAGCTGAAATCAATTATCAGTTTTTCCAGCGTCTTTAGCGATGGATCATATATATGTGTTCCACTTGAGGTCTGGGGCGAACCTATATAATAAAAGACGCTCAAAGCAAGAAGCCTCATTGAGAGTGTAGCCATTCATCGTGACTCGAGAGAATTAAGGGTCATCTCAGTGATGATGCAAATTTACTTGCTTGTTTTTTGACGTATTGAAAGTTGCCCGATGGGACTGTTAGACGTAGGTCAGCTGAAAGATCAGCTGCCAGGCTCTGGTCATCTTGCTTTTTTTTGGAATTGTGTCCATACACTTTGTTATAATCTGTGTAAATATTTCTTAAGAAACTCAGAATATTAGTAAATATTTGTGCAGATTATGTCACTGTGTATCATCCAACAACCTTTCTGAAATGCTCGTTGATGTGAATTCATATTTTCAAGAAACCTTCTAGTGGTATCCTAACGCTGTTTGGTCGTAGCCAATCATATCAACGATTACATAAGTCTCAAGGAATATAAGATTTAGGAACGCAATCCAAGTGTCCACTTGTTAAATTAATAATATATAATTTAAACATTTTATTAACAAACCTTCTACTTTATCATTTTTCACCTTCTTCTATATTTAGAAATAAGTATGCAATTAAAGCATTCTTATCCAGTACATTGTTAATTGGGAGTTTGGTTTGGTTGGTTTTGTTTAGTGGTATATCACTCTCTATGGGTTATTTAATGCCGAAATCTAAATATTTGAACGAATTTGTATGCCTTCACCTCTAAATAAAAATTTATTTTTGGCCATTTCGCTTTTACTATCAATAGGTGTTCATTATTTTTTTATATAAAAATGCATTGCCGCTATTTTTACTATAAAAAGTATACTTTTATAGTGGGTTTTTTTTGGGGGGGGGTTCACTATTTGCCCATAGCTGGGACCCTAACAGGTGCTACAACCATGGTTTAGGGTGCACCCAGGAACAACAGCAATTAAGATATTGTTCCACGCCCCGCAAAACCACCAATCCCCGATCAGAGGCGTTGCTGGTGTATGAAGTTTATCGTTATACACAGGACTATTATTAAATGGGTGAATAACCTGAATCGTGAAGACTTAACTATCATCTGTACTACTGGCCTGTACCTTTTCCCCCTTTTGTGGTCTCCCAGATATCAAATGCTATACTAGCATATATTCATGTTACTGTCTCTATTCAGTTAGCTCTGTGCCATGTGTGATACACTCTTTCAATACATGACTG